ATTCTAACATAAAACAAATTACACATCACAATAAGAAGTATATTTGCATTGAAGTCAACTAAACAGGTAATTATAAAGCAATTCAAACAAAAGCCTACCATCACTATATCTAATACAAATTTAAAAAGCTTTTCACTACAAACGAAATCAATTTTTTAGGTACTTTTCAGAGGATTGGAAAGGAATTTTTTTCCAGAGTGTCCAATACTCCAAAAGTATGCAGAAAACTGTGCACGTTTTAAACCCATTCATTTGAAATTAATAAAAATATTCTTTTATGAGATGTAAAGAAATTCATTCACTTTTCAGTTTAATTGTGATCTGCAGTAAAAGGTCTGAAATAAGATAAAGGTGAAAATTCACCATGTTGAGTGTTTACTGAATGTTTTGGGGCTTTGATTTAAGGCTGGGAGCTTTAACAAAATTGAAAAATTTATTCCTGTCACTAAATATATGCTGATTAATTTTTAAGTCATTGCTAGATTTTTGCCACCATTTCCAGCCAATTTATAATAGTAATAGGACTGAGTCGAGTCCAATTCAATCTGTAATCATACAAGTGATTGAAAAAATTTGATGAATGCAAGGCGGGAGTCCAATTTGTCAATCATGAGTATGATTACAGACAGAATTCAATGTCAACAAGTCCTGTTACCAATTAATCATAACTGTTATAACTTCCGAAAACAACAAATACATTTAGGTCAAATATCTCTAATAGAGGCAATGTCTAAAGTAAAAAATATGTCTCCATTTTGGAAATTCTTCAAATTTTTTTTAAGGATAAGTGGCTGCTGACCTCTCACGCGAAAACGTTCCTTACGGTTTGCCGTTTTGAAACGGATAACCGTTCGTAAGCCGTTCATCAGCCGTTCGAACGGGATGGGATGCCGTTCGAACGGCTTGAGCTATCCGTTCAAAAACAATTAGGAGCCGTTCGAACGGCTGGAGCTATCCGTTCCAAATAGATTGGGAGCCGTTCGAACGGCTTGAGCTATCCGTTCAAAAAAAATTGGGAGCCGTTCGAACGGCTGGAGCTATCCGTTCCAAAAAAATTGAGAGCCATTCGAACGGCTTGAGCTATCCGTTCAAAAAAAATTGGGAGCCATTCGAACGGCTGGAGCTATACGTTTCAAAAAAGTTGTGAGCCGTTCGAACTGGATGTTCGTGGCGAACGGCTGGCGATATGTTTTGAAACCGTAGCTTACAATTCCTTTGGAAGGGATGTTTCGAGCCGTGATCCTGTCAAAGTTAATAGTCTTCGCACTGCGATCAGTCAAGAGTACATCGGACAGACTAAAGTTAGTTTGGTAAACACTTGAAGGTTCCTAATATAGCGTGTTTCCCCTCTGCAAGGAATTAAACTCTGCTTTGTTTAGAGCATGCTTGCCAAACCAACAGTACAGCGTCGCCTGTGTTCGGAAACGAGATGTTTACAAAGTCAATTAATGGCGTTACATTACGAATTCTGGAAATGGTTGCATGACAATTATTTTAAAAGAGAACGCAGACTATTACCGGCTTTTGTTATGGGCGTCCCCCGCGAAAACGAATTTGCTTTACTCTCAAAAGACTTATTTTCAAAACAGGATTAGATTTATTCTAGGTTTTCTATCAGTTTTCAGATCTAAGCGGCGCGTGTCGCATTTATCTTAATTACTGTCATTTCGTTCGAATGTTTTTGATCGGCCGTTCAACCGTTTACTTTGACCTTATCCGTTGAAAACTTCAGCCGTTCAGCCGGTCGGAATTTTCCTTCAGCAGTTCAGCCGTTCGACTTCAACCGTTCGAAACTTTTCTGAAGCCGTTCGACTTCAACCGTTCGAAATTTTCCTTTAGCCGTTCAACCGTTCGACTTCAACCGTTCGAAATTTTCCTTTAGCCGTTCAACCGTTCGACTTCAACCGTTCGAAATTTTCCTTTAGCCGTTCAGCCGTTCGACTTCAACCGTTCGAAATTTTCCTTTAGCCGTTCAGCCGTTCGACTTCAACCGTTCGAAATTTTTCTGAAGCCGTTCAGGCATCCGTTTTAAACGGTTTCTCTATCTGTTTGTCATCCGTTCACATACCGTGCGTTCGACCGTTCGAACGGATACCGTAATTAAAGCTGTACAGAAAGATAAGAGAAAAATAATGCAGCTAATGCACCAATCACATTTGAAGAAATTGTAATGGTTATGATTAGTGCCTGAATAGCCTGTTCCAGGCATTCAGTGGGTAAAACAAAGTGTGATAGTAAATGCCGCTTATAGGAGCAGAGAAGTGAAAAAGCAAGGGCGGCTTGGGTTGAGTCACTCAATGAATCCCACTTGACCCAAGCTTCTCTCGCTGTTTCACTTTTCTGTGCCAGTCTTCCCTCTGTTTTACTAACCTGGAGTGAGCCAATGCCTGAAACAACCTTGTGTCATTTTAAAAATTATTTTTGTTTTATCTGTGTCAAATTAACATAATCCAATTTCATAAAGAAAATTAACAATAAATTTTGGCTACCAATTTACCGTGTCATCTCTTTTCTCTACACTGTGTGATTAAGCAGATTTTTTCATGTCATGCAATAGCTTGGCCAAAATGGCATAGGTATCTCTTCTATTCTTTAACTGCAATTCAGTGTACTGGATAAGACTGGCTTGCAGGCTCAACACCCTTTGCCTATTGTAACAGATCATTTATATTAAAAAAAAAGAATTAAAATCAATCGAGAAAGCTGCTGCTGCAGTTAGATCAGCCACATGACAATTTCCCTTTATGTGCCCTTAACAATTATTTATTATTTTTATTATTATTTATACCATTTTGCCTCTGCTTAATACACCGGCGCAAAGTATTCATTGCCAAATCACCGAATATAGTCTGGAAAAAAATTGTTCGTGTGTATTTTTGTCTCTTCGGCTTCTCGGAGGTTAATAGTACTTGCTGATCACTTTTGAGCTGATCAATCAGCATGTGCAAAAAGCACTATTCACTTGTGTGGTATATGCTAATTTTTTAATATTCAGATTTTTAACATGAAAACAGCACAAATATTCATATAATCCTTTGACATGTGTCTTACATGTAAACCAACAGCATGGTGGTCTGCCTGTAAAACAAACTGAGAAATGCCACCAGTTAAGGCTAGCATGCAAAATTTTCCAGCTAAACAGTAAGAAAGTCTAAGTAAAACAAAAGGTTTTTTAATATCACTTTATTCACCTCATTCTTTGCAGCTTCTGAAATTGAATTTTATGCTTCCTCTGCATCGTCTTTAGCTTTTTGAAGCTGAAAATAAAAAAAGCATGCATGAAACAATTTGGCATTCTTTAAGTGTGGCATTCACTATAATCATTCAAGCTTGACTTGACCCTCAATTCTATTGCTAGTGGATGAGCAGCCTTGTGTGAATCACGTGAAAGTAAATACTCAATCATGTTCAACAAAACAAAAGGAAGATACCAAAAGAATGCACATCACATACAAAGCATGTGTTTGTCTAAATCTTACCATTTCTTGGTTCTTGGGTTTGGCTTTTTCCAGTGCTTTTGTGGCATTCTCAAACTCAACTAGTTTACACATACGACAGATATTCATCTCCTGCAGGGTTAGAAATGGTCAAAACAAGTGCATTAGACAGTTAAAATGTTCATCTAGGGACAGCAAGAAAAAACAACTAATAGGGTAAATGGGTTTTCAAAGTTAGGGCACTGGAATTGCAATCTGGAAGTACCACAACTAGCTCATCTGTACTTAATGGTTCCAGATTCAACTACTGCCACAAAGCATTCCACCATTCCAGTCTTTGTTTGAAAGTTTTCCTTTCCTTTTTTGCACTGCAGTTCAAAAATGAAATGCAAATTCCCTCAAAGGGTAAACAATACAAGAGCGCTTTTTCTCCTGATAAACACTCCCTTGTGCTACATGGATGCATTTATTCTTGCCTATGACTAAAAAAATTTAATCCAATAAAGATCGAGGGGGTAAAACCCAGTCTTCTTGTTCAAGACACGCCTCCCAAACCATGCGGGAAATGGAAAATTGATTCGTCAATAGTCTGGCTGATGAATTTCTGTTTAGACATGAGGTGATCCTGAACTTTTCTCTCTGCTGTGATTATGCTCTCATCCTGGCCCACCCCAAAAGATAATAATCACCTCCTTTACCTTTCCCTAACCCCACCCATGAAAGGAAAGCCGGTATCCTTTACAGAGTTAAATAAGATACAAGTTTTCCAATACATATTTCACATACCTTGGTGGCATGTATCTGGAATAAAGTTCTAAAGTAAAACCTAATGTGATGTCATCATTAGTGGACATAACATCCAGTGATTCCTGAAGAAAGAAGAGGACACACACAAGTGAGACAAAACAAATTAAGCTCTTGGAATTGAAAAATACTGCCAGCAACACTAGATCCTGTCTAAAAATACTACCATACCTTGACACCAATTAGTGCAAAAAAGGCACAAAACTCCTGTGAAGCTAAAAACAGTTTTAAAAATTAGCTTTTTCTTACACCCTGACATCAGAGTGTATATTTTCAATACTGTTCTTGGTACATAATCTATCACACTGACAAGGAGAAGTTGTTCAACAATCAAGAGCTTCTTTGTTTTTTCTACCATTTCCTTTATTCTCATGACCTTAATGTACTATGCTGCAGTGATATGGTGAGGAGAATTTAGATGCTGACCACTTCCAAAAGAGAGGAAGAAGAACACTACTGCATACGGGATAAGGTGTTGATGGGTCTTGTAAGCTGACTTAACCATTCAAAAATATGGAAATATGTTTGCCTCTTATTTTCAGTTCTCATGATGGTTACAGCGAGTAGGGCTAGCATATAAGATGAGGTAAAACAGTGGTTATTCACATGGGAAAAAAAATCAGCCAAACTATGTCTGGCCCATCATTGCTTGCATTGGAAGTTTGACATCACAGGTTAATAATGGAAAGATATGAAATAAATATTACGTAATTATTACAAAATTATATCATTTAGCAATTTCAGACAAAGAACAACAAACCCTTTCAATTCCTTGGTACTATTATCATCACCAGCAGATGCTGTCATGATGTCAGAACTAAAATCATTCACTGCTATAAAGCAACACCTAAAATTCACAAAGAAATTCAAAATTACCAAACTTACATATACATGTACAAATATGCCATTATGGTGAGATTGTCATAATCATACATTATCATATGTTATCAAAAACAATCATATATTTTGCAACATCCTAGTACATTAAAATACTCTATAGTTGAATAATACTTCAAGTATGTCTTTGCCACCCTTATGTTGTTTTCACATGAATGTTCTTTAGATATCAATGTTTTGGTCATATTTTCTGTTAAAATTCACTGGACTGGACCATTCACCAAAATCATGAGATCTGAAGTTTTAATTCACTATTTCAGCCTACACAACCTTAATGCAGATTACACATTCCAGCAAATAAAACATTGCTACATACGTTGCTGACTGTATACCATTTTGGTGAAGTTCAACAAAAAAACATAAGTAGAAAAACATTTATTTATTGAAGGAAATAATCTCAAAATTGTCAAATCTTACTTAGAAGCTAAACCCATGCATGACCAAAACATTATTTCTCCTCACCACATCAATACAACACCAAGCAGGCAAGTGATGCTCTGATTGTTAGTTGACCCAAAACCAAATTCTCCCAACTAACATCATATGAATTGTGTGGCAGAAAGTGAAGGGAATTACTGAATCATAATGCACCCCTAGAAAAATATTACAACTACTGACCCCATATGTCTCCTTGGTAAGTGGTGTGTACTCCTCCACAAAATCTCTTTTCTTCTGAAATTCTTCAACAAGATCCTAACCAAAAGGAATAACTTCTGGTTATTTTTATTTCCAGGAAGGCCAAGTCATTCTTGTACTGGTTAAATTCAAAAGAAAGTTAGGTCATCTTTGAGCAGGGCCACTCAGTAACCCTTTAACTCCCAGAAGTGATGAACATGTAACTTCTCCCTTTAATATCCATATATTATTCAGCAAACAGGTGATGAGAATACTCAGACTCATCAGGTACAAGATATTACCCTGATTGAACACCAAATTCTTGTAACTAATTTACAAGGAAATGTGTAGCAGCTACAGGGGAGAATTAATAATCAGATCTTGGGAGTTTGAGGGTTAATTGCACTTTGGCAAGAGTGTTTCTTCACCCACAGAAGAGAATGAGGCCTAGTAGAGCAACACAAGCTGCTGAGAAGCCTGTGAAGGGTTAACAGTGACAAGAAGGACCAAGTAATCAGCAGCTTAATCCCTGAGAGTGACTGACATCTAATTTCTCCTTACCATATCCCCACTGAATCAAACATTAAGGTCAGGAGAATAAAGGAGCTGATTGCAGATTAAAGAAGCTCTTGATTGTTAGACAAATTCTCCACGTCCGAATCTTAAGAAATGTCTAGAGAACAGTATGGAGAATATGCATACTGATGTTAGAGTCTGAAGGGTTAAAACACTGTCTCTCTGTATGCCATAATTCAAACTACAATAATTCATATTTCCCAGCCCTGAATGAGACATACACTGTATGTAAGATCCAAAACCAAATTCTCTGAACAAACATCATATGAATTGTATAGCAAACAGTAAAGAGAATGACTGAACCATAATGCACCCCTGGAGTAAGATTCTATTTGGAAAAATATAACAACTACTGACCCCATATGTCTCCTTGGTAAGTGGTGTGTACTCCTTCACAAAATCTCTTTTCTTCTGAAATTCTTCATTAAGATCCTAACCAAGAGGAACAACTTCTGGTTATTTGTATTTCTAGGAAGGCTAAGTTATTTGCATAATGGTTAAATTTAAAAAAAGAAGGTCATCTGTGAGCAGGACCTCTATAACCCTTTAACACCCAGAACTGACGAACATGTAACTTCTCCCCAAAATATCCATACATTATTCAGCAAACAGGTAATCAGAATACTCAAACTCAGCAGGTACAAGATGTTACGCTGATTGAACACAAAATTCTCGTAACTAATCTACAAGGACAAGGGTAGCAGCTAGAGGGAAGAATTGAAAATCAGATCTTGGGAGTTTAAGGGTTAATTGCACTTTGGCTGAAGTGCTTCTTCACCTACAGGAGAGAATGAGACCTGGAGCAACATGAGCTGGTGAGAGGCCTGTAAAGGGTTTAACCCTTTAACTCTCACAAGTGATTAACATGAAACTTCTCCCTATAATATCCATAAATTATTCAGCAAACAGGTAATGAGAATATTCAAACTTATCAGGTAGAAGCTTCTATCTTGATCTAGTATCAAGTTCTCATAACAAACTTATAAGGAAATATGTACTAGCAGCTAGAGGGGAGAATTTACAATCAGATCTTGGGAGTTAAAGGGTTAACACTGATAAAGAAGGACCAAGTATTCAGCAGTAATTTGCATAATTGGGAACTTTTGAGAATTCCTAGGAATTCCCAGAAAACTGGGAATTCAGTTCACAAGGGTTTAACCCCTAAGAGTGACTGACATCTAATTTCTCCTTACCATATCCCACTGAATCAAACATTAAGGTCAGGAGAATAAAGGAGCTGATCACAGACTACAGAAGCTCTTGATTGTTAAACATGTCAGCAACCTAGAAAATGTTTAGAGAACAGTGTGGAGAATATGCATACTGATGTTAGGGTGTGAAGAGTTAAAACACTGTCTCTCTGTATACCACAATTCAAACTACAATTATTCATATGTTACAGCCCTGAATGAGACATACACTGCATGTAATTAAACAATAATCCAGTGATATCACAATTTTACTAAATAAAAACTTCTTAGATAAAAAAATCAAAACAAAACAAAAAAACATAAAAAAAATCCTGGAACATTTTGTACCTTGTGACTATGATGCCTGAGATCATCCACAGCTCATGATATAGACTTGTCCTAAGACCCTTTTTCACTTTGCTTCTCACTGCAAGCTATGTAATTAAAAAAAGTGTTTATACTTTATACTGTAAGTGTATGGGCATGAGAGATGCCATTAAGCCACTGATCACTGAGTTGAAAAGAGATTAATTTCTCAGAGCAAGGAGTTTAATAATGATTATCAAACTTAGTTTTACCAAGTTGCAACAGACATTTTGTTACAAAAGAAATCCCCCAGGCATATACATACAATCAGCAAGAAAATTGTCAACACACTACCATTGAAATGGAAATATTCTGGAATAGCATACCAATTATATTCCTTATTTTCAACTCTTCTTCTCATGTACAATGTTTCTTTAATTGTTTTACACCATTCTACAACATTGACTGGTGGAAGAGGTTAGTGTTGCAGTGAATTGTAGTTCAATTTTCACTCCATTTCTACATAATTCCTTAGAGGTGGCTCAGTGGATGTTGTGTCAACTGATTTTATCTTTAAAACATTTATGACCCCTTAAGATGAAAATAGTCACAATTATTGTTGATTTTATGAAAAATATACCTATGGAGTTTAAATCAAGTGTTGTTTTGCCATAGTATGTCAGTTTACAAATTTTGTGGAAAAAATCACCCACACTCACAGGGATTGTGGCCAAATATCTGTAAGAGCATCTTATTATTTGAAAAACTCACATTGTCCTCTTTCAAAACCTTCTGCAAATCTTCATCTTTTGAAAAGGCTGGGTGGCTGACAACAAGTTGAAAAAATCTGAAAAACATTAAAAATTTTAATTCTTGAGATGGGCTAATATGCAATGTAAACATGTGAATCAACAGTGTCTCCCAGAAAGTACATTAAATTAAAATAATATTTCAAGAAAACTGAATCTTTCCTGAGGAAGTTTCTCTAAGATCTGTTTCTTGTTGGGTTGTTTTCTTGATCATTTTTGTTTTATTTTGCTAGTTCACTGGGAGAAAAAAACTTAAATGGAAAATTAACCCTTTAAATCCTAACAGTGACTAACATCAAATTTCTCCTTACAATATCACACCTAAATCACAAGTTAAGGTCATGAGTGTAAAGGAAATGATCCTCAACAAAAGAAGCTTTTGATTGGTAAACAAATTCTCCTTGTCAGCACCTTAGGAAATGTATAAAGAGCAGTATGGAGAATATGAATACTGAATCTAGGGTGTAAAGGGTTAAAAAAACTTTCCCAACCCGCTGCTTTTCTTTTCAATACTCTGTAATCTGCTGTAAATCCATACAATTACTGAACTGTCCCCTTTTCCTATTCCTTCATTACTCCTTTCCATTGGTTATCCTCAATTTCTTTACTCCACCATAAACTTTGTTTCAACATTAAAATATACTTGTTTTTCTCCTTTCTTCCACTTCTCTGAACATTCCTCTGTAACCCAAATCCACATCGTCCCTGAATTTCTGTCTTACGAGTCCTTCATGATGTGTAGCTCAGTAACTCGATGTGCGGCGCTTGGTAACCACCCTATCTCACTTCGCTAACAAATCATCAGCAGAGTTCTATTTGCGTAGTGCGTCAAGAGGATGGTTTCCAAACGACAAAGTACCGGCTGCATCCATGGAAAATGCCTTATGGCATCAATGCTACTGACTCTAGATCGTTACTACCAAAAAGGCAAAGTTAGCAGCCATGTAAAGCTTTTTTGGCCTTGTTAGGCCTGATAAATAAGGCGTTGCTAACATAAGGGGCTTGGGTAGCTTATGAAAAATGTTTTGAATTACATATGGTACATTTGCAGAAAGAATTAGAGGTGTGGAGGCCCCATAGTCTGCGTGTTGGAGTCTGAGTCGAGAGATTCCTATTCAACCCTCGGGCATGATTTTCAAAGTTCTACTAACTTCAGAAGAACAAATATAACATTTACAAATTAAATTATACGCAATGATGATGCGAGTCTTCGTCCAGACAGTAGTGTGTTCTTTTTCTTTCCTTTGCGTCTTTACTCTTTGCATTTCAAATTTGTCAAAATCTCTATCTCGAAAGAATCATGGCAAACAAATCCGTCTGGCCTGTTAACTTCCCAGGTTTTTCGAGAAACGGGCTCCTGGTCTTGTTCATAGGAAGGGGTTTTTTTCACAACCCCAAGGCCTCTCTCAGCTAACTGTTGCATTTCAAATATCTATATCAATCATTTACAACATGGAGTCCTTGCTTTGGGAGTCAAAGATCCGATTGCATTTGTAACTCATCCGAGTTTTGCCACTCTGTAGGATTTTCTAAAAAGTTTTTTTTAAACAAAACAATCAGCAATTATTCATTTTAAAAACTTCTGTTACAGAAACACGCCGATGACTCTGCTTAAAATTCAGCTCCACTACCTAGCTGATCAGTGCAGCCAGCAAATTCATCAGCAGATCGCCAGCAACTTTATCGCACTTTACACCACTTATTTGGGACCAGATAATGACTGCGATTCACTTGGGCTATGCACAATCGAAAATGTCGAGGTGCAATGTGGAGACCAGACAGGAACACTTCGAAAAAGAGACTTAGGAAGCAATCAGCTCTCATCAAGAATTTCACTTTCCATTAGTTTTGATTTGAAAGTTCCACTGCCCGAGAACACGACTGAAGCTGATCTTAATCAGACAACTGAAGAAATTTCCAGTAACCTATTATTAAAGTTTAACAGAGCAGATGTGAATCTAAAATATCAGTGGGATTTCCTTAGTTTTCGATGCTTCAAAACCACCTCAAGTCCGCTTCGTGCACCTTTTATGTGATAATGCACAGATTCTAAGAGCTCCAAATGCGGTGAGCAGGGTTTGTTATCATCAAATTCCAAAGAATCTCAAAAAACAAAGCGACTGGTTGACTAATGTGCTTAAAAGGTTCTTATTTTGTCCAATGATGTTGGTTACGCTGGCATTTTTCTATAAGCGATTTCGGACAAACAGGAGCAGCGAGAGGCATGATGCAAATGAAAGAATAGCCGGAGAATTTTTATTTTACATTTGCCAAGTACTTCCCTGTAACTATGAAATTTTCTGAAATGCCCGAGTTTTCCAAAGTGGCCGTAAAAGCAATTTCACTTCCGCTTTATAATTGGTTTGTTTAAAAAAATAGGTGTTATACGATTAGCTGCCTACTCTAGATCAACAATTTTTCAAAGGCGCAGAATTTCCTCGCAGAAGGCATTCCAAAAAATATGGGAGTCGAAAAAAACGCATTGACAGTGCATACTCTAACTTAGACTAGAATCTTCGTATAGCTTTTAAGGACCTTGATGTTTAGGGAGTACTTGGTTAAGTTTAGACCCTATCGTAAGTAATAAGAATGATGTAATTAACTCAACGAAGGAAGTATATCATAACCAGCACCAAAAAATCATTCTTTCAACTGAATTAAAGTACAAAACCTTTCTTTTGAAAATGAGTTTCCGCGCATGAGGTTGAAGAATGATTGTAATGTGATTATCGAAAACACAATGCACTTGCCTTGCTATACAAACAGGTGCTTCAAACAGCTCTGAAATAGCTTTATAAACAGCTTGATGATACGTCAAACACTTTGAATATCTTCGACCCTTTTTGTTATTTATAGTGAGCTGTCCTGTTGGATACTTACATAATACCACAGATTGCCAGGCATGCGCAGTGGATCATTACCAGGATAAAGAGGCGCAGACTTCTTGTGTTCCTTGTCCATTCGGAACATCAACATTCGGCGAGTTAGCATGGCAAGGAAACTGTGAAGGTCTTTAAAAAAATTATACTAGATGTCTTATTTTGACTTATGATGAATTTATTTGTACTGCTGTAAACAATATTTGTATTTGACCGCTTGCCAATTCTTACTTTCATCAGAAATTCCAAAACATCAAATGCCGATGGGCAAGGGACATCAGGTCACCTTCTCAATGTCATCATTGCCATGGCAATAGTTGTACCAGTCATTGTAATGGTTGCTGTCGCCATCTTTTGTGTGTGGAAGCAAAGAATGTAAATCAAAAGCATCATTTTCTTTTTTTTTTAATGGTTGTCATTATCGTCACCATAAGAATTTCTTACTGTTATTTTTACTGCCGTCGTGGTTTTTCAAAAGTGGAATAGAAACCGATAGAGTTGAGTTGCAATGGAAGATAAAGAGGTGAAAAGGCTTGGGAAGGGTAAATTGGCCTGAGCAAAGCAGGGGTGATGGTGGGGTAACCTGTTGTTCAAGCAAAATTGCCAGAGCCAGTAAAATATATGTATCAGCAAAATAACAACAGGAAGCATTTAGCTAATCGTACTGGATGCCATTCCCTTACCGATTCATCAAGTTTCTCTGATAGTTTGCCAGTTGCCTTCGATATTCAATGGTGGAGAGCATCACATTGACAATAAAGTATTAACGTATTTTCCTCAAGATTGCATCACAGTGACCCTTCCGTGCCTCAAATTTGAACCTCTCGATCAGTTGTTCCTGCGCACTATTTACCAAACCACTGCAATTCCCAACTTTGATATATTCTCTTCCCGTATCCTTTGTAATATTAGCGTCTGAAGGTTACCTCCACTACACAACAACTCACGCATAAAGCATGAAACAAGTATTCAAGTTAAGATTTTGTCTTGTTTCGGAATTCCAGGGCGCGTTCGCTTGAATGACATGGCATCACATGGCAAGGTTTGATATATGCGAGCTACTTAAAGATTCATTTCGCTCTTTCTCATCTATTTTATCTTTCCTCCCTCAGAAGACCTCGGCGAAGAACTTCTGAGACCAGGGGACACAACAATCCAGCGTATGAAGATCCAATGAGTACCCGTGTCTATGAGGAAATTGAAGAATTGCAGTTTCCGAGTCCTCATTCCCATTATCAGTTACTGAACACGGAACCACATACTTACGCGGAGCTCCGAAACAGTCACTCTGAAGCCTTGGGATATAGTTTGACGATTTTAGATAATTTTGAGTTGAGATTCTTTTTTGCTATAGTCCTACCTTCACTGGTTTTACCCGTGGATATGCAAAGCATAGGAAAAAGCAACGCGTTAACGCCGCCTATGAAGTCTGGGGAGAGCATACATATATCTTATATAGGATGTAAACCCAATGTTAGTTTTGGCAAATCAATTAAGGAGAGCTCTTGTGGGGATGACGGCTAATTTTGTACCGATAATGTACAGCGCAATAGCCCTTTTATCACAATGTGAACAACTGAACATTCCCTCTTGACACTGTGTTGTGAGAGTGGAAATCAAATGTCAAGGTTGTTTTTGGTAAACTTGGACTTGACCCGCCGAAATAACCATTTATATTCTGCACGTTATATCCACGAGTTCATCAAAATGTCATTTGGATCTTGTTATACAGTATCTATTGATGGGTTCTAGTGCGGAAGGTCTATGAGGATTAGAGGAAAGGTTCAATACTTCTTACAGGCATCGAGGGAAGCGTTATCACGGAGAAAATGGCCGCAATTCAACGATAAAACCGCCCACGTAGACTATTCAAATCCAATCCCTTGGACAGTGTAATACGTTACAATTAAAGATACACTTTGGGTGCAATGTAGAGTTACGAGTTCAGAATAAAATGTTTCATTCTTAGTTGGATTTGGATCTTTATCAGTTTCGTCATCTAACAAGAGTATCTCATCAAAAAATGTATCTTAAATTTCGTTTTCCAAAAGTTTTTCTAATACCGCATTTGTTCTCTTTTTCACTCGTGTCCCGCAATGTTATGGAGAAGTAAAACATGTTACAATTCTTCCTTCAGACAAACAACAATCTTTCTAACTTTTTTCATCAATAAATAACCCCATCCCCATGCAAATAACTTCTTTACGACATGATAATGATCATCCACGCGCTATCCAGGCTTTAATTAGGCTTTCATGAGAAATTTTTGACTGGTGAGAAGGGGAGGGAGCCCTGTGTGACAAAAATTAATGATATTTCAACCCTCAAGTCCAATTAAAGAAAAACTTGAACTTTCGTTTAAAATTTACTTCAAGATGAAAGAGGAGTTTGTAGGAATGTGGGTATTAGGAATTGTGAGCCAGTACATTGTGAGACTTCACCGCGTCACTATGAACACTACTGAAACGAGTGGTTGAAAAAAGGACTTGTACGGGCCTGAATTTTTTTCAGGTCCTATTTTCAACTACTCGTTTCAGTAGTGTTCTTAGCTGCGAGGAGCTCTTAATTTCATTTCTTCACCGCAGTGCAAATATATGAATTTTATACATCTAAAATCATCATTCACCGCGTCGTTTAAGATCTTTATCGAAGTTCGCTCTTCGATTCCACAAGAATGAGAGGTTACTTCCACTCAACCTTGGATGTTAAACGGCTACTGATGAAGAAGTAACGGGATTTTCTTTTTAGTATCCTGTGGCATGTTAGCAAATTAGTTTATCCAGAGATTTTCCTTCTACGAAGTTCGGAACAAATGACGGTTTATTTCTTTAAGACAACCGCTGA